AATGGCCAGAGCCTTTGCCCTGGCAGCTTATCTTGTCTCGCTAGCCCCCACCACAGAGGTCGACTCCCCTCTTCGCCCAGGGCCCTCCCACTAAAACCTGTTTTTAATGTGGAGTGGGCAGGGGATCTGGATGATACAGGCCAGGGCCGGATGCTAAGATCTCTCTGTTCTGCAAACAGATGGGTTGGACAAGGATTTGGACAATTCGCGGGCCTTCAAGGTCGTGCTGTTCTCAACCACTTGTGTCGGTTTAGCTCAAAACCCCATGGAGCTCCTGAAACCAGAAAGAGAACATACTCTCTAGCTTCCTCGCTTCCTCCTCCCCTGCTTCCCAGCTTTGTACCCTCCTCCCTTTTTCTTTCCTCCCTCCCTCCCTCCCTCCCTCCCTTTCTTCCTTCACAGCATGCTCTCTGGCCTGTGCTGGATTCTGGCGATGCCCTGGGAGATGTGACCCAAAGGACCTGCCTCACAAATCCAGTGAGAGCAGAGGTCCCCACCAATCCAAACTCCTCTTCATAGATAATTCCTCATTTTGTGGATTCAAATTTAAATTTTACTGGGGTGTCTGGAGGGCTCAGTTGGTTAAACGACAGACTTCAGCCCAGGTCATGATTTCGAGGTCCGTGGATTTGAGCCCCACGTCGGGCTCTGTGTTGACAACTCAGAGCCTGGAACCTGTTTTGGGTTCTGTGTCTCCCTCTCTCTGTCCCTCCCCCCCACTCTCTCTCTCAAAAATAAACAAACATTAAAAAAATCTTTAAAATTTACCTGCATTCAGTCCTAGGAACCTGTCTAAAAAGCCAACCTAGTTTCCTTCCTTCCTTCCTTCTCTGTCTTTCTTTCTTCCTTTCATGATTTCAAGCATCGAAGCATTTCCCAAGTAAGAAAGAAATGCAGCAAAAAGGCTGTTTGGTCCAAAAAGCCCAAAGCAAGAGAAGGTCGTTATTTGGAAACAGACCTGTGTGGCTTCAGCAAGGCCCACCTGCGCAGCCAATCGGCTTGCTGCCATGAGATGTGCCCCCAAGTCTAAACCAGCCCTAGTTGAGGCACTGGCTGGGAAAGGTGAACCGAAGAGCCAAACCATCCCTGTCTGGACCCCGGGGCCAACCCTGGGGACTGGGTTGAGATCTATGACCTACAAGCATGGCTTCCTCTTCCGACTTCCAGCCACCCCCTGCCAGGCAGAAGCAGGAATCACCACCGGCTCACTGCTCCAGGCCCTGATATAAATCCTGCACAGCAGTCACACTCCAGAATCCCATCTCTTTTCCTCTGGCCAAGAAAGCAATGGTCTGGTTATACATCAGAGAAAGAGACAGAGAGACAGAGAGGGAGAGGACTGAGGAGTGACTGAATGAAGTTTGGGCTCTGGTTTCAAAATCTGGAAGTGGGGGCGCTTGGGTGGCTCAAGTCGGTTGCGCACCCGGCTGTTGATTTCAGCTCAGGTCGGGATCTCATGGTTTGTGGCTTCGAGCCCCATACTGGGCTTGGTGCTGAATGTGGAGCCTGCTTGGGATTCTCTCTCTTTCCCTCTCTCTCTCTGCCCCTCCCCTGCTGGCTCTCTCTCAAAAATAAATAAACTTTAAAAAAGAATCTGGAAGTAGACTGGAGGCCGTGGGGGTTGAGCATGAAAGGAAAGGCAGAGCAACCCCCCAGGAGGTCTGTCCCGGTGCTACTTTGGCTGCTAAGTCACCCTGCGCCCCGCTCCCCCCCAGTCTTCTCGGGAGGACTGGATGCTTTCTCAAGCCCCTCCCTGTTCCGGAGTCCTGTTTCCAGAGTCCCCGCCTCAACCCCCCATTCCTATAGTCACCCCCCTTCCTGCCAAGTGCTCAGTTTTAGGAACACGGCCCCTCCCACCTAGAGGGCGTTGTAAGGCATTTCCAACTGACCAGGGGCGGGTCCGGCTGCTTCCCCGTGGCCGGTGAAGATGGTGCACGTGGGCCTCTTTGTTTGGTTAAGATGGGTTGCTGCCAAGAAACTCAACCAAGAGGTAGAATGCCAACCAGCAGGGAAATGAGCAAAACCAAGGGCACAAGGCCGTAGCTCTGGTGACGGCCATCCTCCCCCGACGTTTACTGGTGGTTGAGGAGGAAGACTTGGGATGGAAAGCTAGGCTCTCCCCGTTTCCACCCATCTCGGAGACGTTTTGGGAGCAGGCTCGGGGACGTGTGGTCACTGGCCTGGGGCTCGCTTATTGACTGGACATGAACTTTCCATCTGTGAAGTCAGGGGAATGGTGGTGGAGGGTGATTCCCAAGCGTCCCAAGACCTTCAGGGACTGGACTCTGGGTCTTGAAGGGCGGATAAAGCAACCCCAGTTGTGCCGGGGAGTGGGGGCGGGGGGGCAGCCAGGGTCCAAGGCAAGTGGGTGCAAGTGTTCAGCGGATGGAACAAGATACCCGAGACAGTGGAAGCAGACCGGAATCTGACCCGAGGCTCCGTGTGGGCACGAATAATTAATGAGGAGGGAAGGGCCGAGCTGGGGGAGGGAAGGGCCGGGAACTTCCTCGGCCTCTGACTCCGGCCTGCCAGCGGGTGGCGCTGTAGGACAGGAGCTGAGGGACCCTCGGCGGTGAGCCGCTTCCAGCCTGGCCCTGGCCTGGGAGCTCCCAGAAGCTGGGATCTCCAGGACAGGATGGGGGGGGGGGGGCGCTCCCAGGGCACCTGTCCCAGCCCCACAGAGTTTCCCAGCACGCGGCCCACCCTGCTGGGGCACGACCTGATCGCATAAGCAAAAGAGACGTCCGGTAGCTTTTTCTGGCCAACTCCATACTTCCTCTTGGCCTCGGGTCCTTGGAAAGAAAAGCGGGCCTGCAGGGTCCACGGCCGGGCACCCCTCTCTCTGCAACAGCCGCACGGCCTTTGGTGGACAGAACCTAACTTCGGGCCCCTCCAGAAATTCTGTGTCCTGATGTGTCCCCTTCCTCTTTCTGGAGCGAGCTTGAGCCAAAAAGTAGGTCCAGTTTGGGGCGCCTGGGTGGCTTAGTCGGTTAAGCGCCCGACTTTCGCTTAGGTCATGATCTCGCGGTTCGTGGGTTCGAGCCCCGCGTAGGGCTCTGTGCTGACTGCCAGCTCGGAGCCTGGAGCCTGTTTCAGAGTCTGTATCTCCCTCTCTCTCTGACCCTCCCCTGCTCACGCTGTCTCTCTCTCTCTTCTAGAAATAAATAAAAAATATTAAAAAAAAAAAGTAGGTCCAGTTCAAAAATACCTTCACCTTCCTGATAACCTGGACACAAAGGCTTTCTGTTCCTTTGAAAAGCACACTCTCATCCCTCATTGCTGATAGGATTCTGGTCACCCCTTTTCAGTGTGCTTTACCAAGAAGAAGATAATTCACATTAATCTATTGCTTAAAAGTGCCAACCCCTGTGTTAGTCATGTTGTACACATTCTTCACTGTAATCGTCACCTAATTCAGCGCAAGAAGATGTCCTGTACTGTGCCAGCGTCCTGTCTCACGGACGAGGCATAGAGAGGTTGAGACATTTGCTAGAGGTCACAGAGGACTTACTTCAGGAGGCTAGGCTTCACGCTCTCGGCCACGCGGAATGGCTACCGGCGCAGTGGCTAGGTCCCTTGGGCTCCCCTGTGCTCCCCACACCGGGCTCGCTGCTCCCTGTGGGGGGTCGGAAGGGCTCAGGGGGGCTCTAGCCAAAATCAGTGGGGATGCTTGTGTCTCTTGGGCTCATTTGGTGGGAGGAGGGCTTCTGGCCCTTGGAGTCGTTGGGGTCTGTCGAGGCCCTGGCTGGGCCAGGTTCCTGAGCAGTGTTAGTGTGTGTGGCCTTTGTATGGAGTTGGGATGCATGGGTGGGGTGGGGAGGACTGATCAGGAAACGCAATCAGACCTGCAATCACCAGACGTGGATGCGTCTCCCTGCCCAGCACTCGGCATGTAGGGGGCGTGAGCCGCAGCAGGCATTCCTGCAGCCCCCCCCCTCCCCCCAGTTATCTCTGGCACTCACCGGAGCCGGGCCCTTGGGATCTTAGGTCCCCGATCCCATGCAACATCCCTACTGGGGGAGGTACAAGGCATCACTGTCTTGTAGGGAATAAAACAAGCCAGTGCGAACTTTACTGGTGGCTGTTTCACGGGAGAGCTTGTGAGTAGGGCGCTTGGTTTTTGAGCTAAGATCTGAATGACAAGAAGGGGTGGGCAGGTGACAGTTGGGGGCCCAAGTGTTCCAGGGACAGGTGGAAGCAGGCGGAAAGCATAAGGCAGGAGCAAAGGCCGTGGCTGTGGGTAGCGAGGAGCAGGCGGGCGGTGGGGGCGGGAGATGAAGCCAGAAGGACGGCCTTGGGCTGCCTCACCTAGGGTGCCGTGGGCCGGGTGGGGAGGGTGGCGTGTCCCTCAAGAGCGTCGGAAGCTGCTGGAATGCAAAGGGGCTGCTCTGTGGAGAAGATGGCTGGGAGGGTAATGGGGAAAAAGGAAGGAACATACCACGGTCCTATGGACACAGGAAGGGGCTCAGGAGGAGGGGATGGGTTGGGAGGTTTCGGAAGTGGCGTTGACAGGTTGGTTGCTGGATTCGAGGTGGAAGAGGAGGGTCAAGAGTAATGACGAGTTTTGCTTTGGCAGGAGGTCGATGGTGGTGTCGCATATGAGAAGGGAAGAACTGAGGGAGAAACCGGTTCGGTGGCCAAAAAAAACAAAAACAAAAAACAAAAAACAAAACAAAAAAAATCAAGTGTTCTGTCTCGGCTGCGTTGACTTGCACGGAATAGCGGATGCTTGAGTGGAGCCATCAAGCGGGCAGTTGAGTAAGTGAGTCTGAAATCCCGGGGGGAGCTCTGGGCTGAAGAGCGGCGTTTGGAAGCTTCAGACGAGAAAAGGGATTTAAAAACTCGATGTGCCCCACTTCATACGGACACTGCAGGCACGTGTCAGAGAAGGCGATCTGCCTGGAGCAGTGTCCGTATCGAGCACCGTCTGAAGAGTCTCAACATTAGTCCTCGCACCCCTCGCCACTGGTTTACTGGTTTCCAAATAAAGGGAAAACAGGAAGAGGACAAATAGCATTTTTAATTGAAAATAGACCGATATATGATTTGCGGGGAGAAGGCAAGGGCGTGCGGAAAGACTGAGGTAAGAAGCGCCCAGGAGTTTGGCTAAAAGATTCCTTGGCTGGTACATCGCTGGCCCAGCTACTCGCCCGGAAGACGGTCTCCTTTGGGCTGGGGTTGCCCTTCCAAGGTCAGCCTTGGCGGAGAAGTCCATGTTGGCCTGAGTGATTGACAGGTGCTGGCGTGGAGGAGGTGGGGGGAGGCCCTGAGTCAGGAGCATGGAGTCTTCCCATTCATGGGCCCCAGAGAGATACTGCTGGCATGGGGAGACATCAGGCATCCCCCAAAGAACAGTTACCCTCATGTTCGGAATATAAAACGAGGGGCTTTTAAAGTATGTTACTGTCATGCTTTCTGCAGGAAATACACAGGTTGTTCTTAACGCTCAGTGGGCGGAGCCTAGGAATCGACCCTTAGCTTGGAGTCTAACACCTGCCCTTGTGATTTGGGTTCATGTAATCAGGTGAGGGCTTGAGAACCGCAGGTGAGTGGGCTCCTGGGCGACGGGGAATCCCTAGTAGAGGGTTGCTGGGGCCAGGGTCGGTGAGTAGTGGCTAACCTGAAAAGTACTGGCTTATCAAAAAGAATCAATCTAAGACCCAAATCCGAGGACCTTGCCAAAGCAGAACCCATGTAAAAATGTGGGGGGGGGGGGCGGGTGAATGGGAGCTGGGGCAAGAAAGGCGAGTCCTCTGGGAGTTTTCTACTGTGTCAAGAAGGAGCTACGGGTGCGTGTAGTTGCCCATCCGCAGGGTCCCCTGGCGCACCGCACGCTCTTCATGGTGGGCTCTGATTGCTCTCTGGCGATCAGCCTCGGTGGGGAAGGTGTCAAGATGGGAGCACACCTGTGGTTAGAAGGGAGCACAGGTCAGCAGGCACAGGTTCCTCCCAGGTGCTCCCCTTCTCTCCTTGCCCGCCCCCTGCTTCCATCTTAGAGCCGTCACACAAATCATCTGTGAGAGGGGAAGACGTGAAGAGTAAGTGCTGGGCTGAGAGCACCCTGGCACTGAGGGGTGACGGGCCGCGGGCAGAAGGCAGCGAGGGCAAAGCTGCTCCGTGCCTAGCACGTTTCTTTCCTTTTTTAAAAAGTTTTTTAAGTTTATTGATTTATTTTGTGAGAGAGCGTGAGCAGGGGAGGGGCCAAGAGAGAGAGACAGAGAGAATCCGGGGCAGGTTCCGTGCTGCCAGCACGGAGCCCAGTGCAGGGCTCGAGCTCACGAACCCTGAGATCATGCTCGGAGCCGAAATCAAGGGTCGGACACTTAACTGACCGAGCCACCCAGGCGCCTCCCAGCATGTTTCCTTCCGTCCGGCTTGTTGCCAGAAAGATGTGTGTGTGATAAACGTAACCTGATGATGACTGGGGTCGCTGTGCTGTGGGACCCAATAGCCCACATCGCCCTTCACCTGCTGATCTTCCACCATGAAAACCCCGAGACGAGCCGCCCTCTCCAGGGGGTAGCTCCGGGCCCAGTCAGTGCTCCTTGCTGGGCATCTGCTCCAAGTCCCTCCTGCCAGGGGCAGCTGCCCCAGGAGGCAATAGTACAGGAACCAGAGTTCAAGAATGCCACCCTTCTGGAGGAGACATGAGACACGGGTCCAATGAGTGTCTCTTCGGTTAAAATGTTATGCGATCAGTATTTCAGTCTGCCCTTCCTTCTCAAGAAACAGTGGTGGGCAAAGCCCCTTCTGTCTCCTGGGTCTGTTATGTCACCCCCAGTAGCAAGAAAAGCGCCCCTAAAATGGCATTTCTCCTTTAGGATAACCTATAGGAGGCCCAGGGTAGAAAGGTTTCGCTTGCTTGTTCATTCATCCGTTCATTCATTCATTTTCTCATGCATTCATGTAACACATATTTATTAAGTAAATAAATACGTGCTCTGTGCCAGGCACTGGGGATACCGCAGGAAACAAGATGGATTTTCTGTCCACTCAGGGAGCTTTTAATCTAGAGGAGGAGCAGACAGCAGCAGTAATTTTGCAGCTGCTTCATTAGAACTCACAGAGTCGGGGGTGTGCGGCGAGCACAGGCAGCATGAGCTCAGCCCTCACGGGAGTCGGGGGTCCCCCCATCCCGGGGAAGGGACGTGAAGGGGAGGCTGGAAGGCGAGCAGGGGTTTCCCAGGCTAAGGGGGCAGCACGCGCGCTGGCCCCCAGGCCCACCGGAGCCCCGGTTCACAAGGGGACGAGGCCGGCAGGCATTCCCTCTGGGTTCGCAGGAGCAGATGAAGGCTCTTAGGGATGTGAAAGCAGGACCCGATCTTGTCAAGAATCCAGGCCCATCGGGCCGCCCTCCGGGGTGCACAGCGAAGCCCAAGTGCTGCCTGCCTTTCGGTGTGGAAAGGCGAGAGAAAGGAAAGACGGGGAGAGGACACACAAGTTCAAGGCAGTAGAGGACAAGGAGGAGCTTCTAAGGAGTCTCTGTGCTCGGGGCCCCGCACGCCGGCCCCCGTCTCAGAACACAGAGGCCCGGGACCTCCCCACCCCCAGGAAAAGTCATGACCTTCACCAGAGCGTGTGGCCCAACTGGTTTCCTGCTGGCAGAGAACCGGGGAATGTCTCTACTAAGACCAGGCGCAGAGCTGACGTGACCTGGTCCCCTGCAGCCTGCACGTGCCTCCTGGCCCTGGGCTCCTCCAGTCCAGGGAGCGTGTGCTCACCATCAGGGTACCTGAGGGCCCCATGGAATCCAAGAGGACTGTGTTCATCATTTTACAGATGAGGGGACTGAGGCCCAGAGCAGCTGGTCCATGGTTGGCTGCCCAGGGAATCGATGTCAGAGGAACTGTTTTAGTCTCCACCCCACCCCACCCCTGGGCACTAAGTTGTGGATTCTTTCTAGAAAACTCTGCTGCAGCCACGGCTCACGTGGCTTCTTTCTCCCACGACTCACTCATGAGGTTGAAAGGGAGTAGGGGTTACAGAAGCTCATTAGAAGCTCCTGAGAGTCAGCTGGTGGTGTGTTTAGTTGTGAGTTCAAGACATAAACCGTGTTCATTCTCGGGTAGGTAGACCCTTAGGAGACTCTGCAGAAAGCCTTGGGCCCTCTCCTCTGGAGGAAAAGATACTCCAAATCCTAATGTACAAAACAGTGTGGGTCGCCACTTCAAGATTTGCAGACCCTTTGCAAGTCCCCTGTCACTTCTGGGAGCCACGGCAGGGGAGGCACTTCTGGGAGCCACGGCAGCCACAGCCTCAGGTTTTGAATTTCTCGGATGTGCATCAGGATCGTCTGGGACTCTCGGAACCCAGGCAGAGCCTGAGCCCAACATCAAAGCTACTGAGTCCTCTAGCACAGGGCCCTTGCTACAGTCACCTGATGCGTCCCTGGGCCCAGGGCTCAATACCTGTGCTCAACTCATTTTGATCACTCAAACCATGATACTGTTCTCAGATTCATCTCCAAGTCCAGAAAAGTCACCAAGTAGTCACGTAAAAGTTGTCAGGAAGAAAGAAGACTCTACACTTTATGGAGGAAGAAAATAGCCAACAAACAAAAGGCTTCCAAGATGTACCGTTGTGTCCCTTCTGGCAAGGGATGGGTTGATTTTTATACTGTGACATGATTTTCTGGACACCCATGCTTTCCAGAAGGCAGCTAAAGGCTCTCAGGGAGGCTGGCACTTTGGGTCTCCAGAGGCCTCCTGGGCACCTTGGCTGATTCACATGCCCAGCCAGCTGGAACTCGGGTGCCCACGGTCTCCTGGAGCATCCAGAGTGGCGATAGTTTCCTCCTTGGTGGCCAGCCACCAATGGCTCTTGACAGCCCACATCTCTGCTATTTCCATGCATCTCCCCACAGCCCTTGAAGTGGGCTGAATGGTGACCCCAAAAGAGATATGCCCACCTCCTAACCATTGGAATCTGTGGATGTGATCTTATTTGTAAAAGAAGGTCTTTGCAGATAGAAGTAGTTTAAGGATCTCAGGATTATTCAGGAAGGCTCTGATTCCAATGACAAGGCTGTGTGAGACAGAAGACACTCTGGAGTGATGTGGCCACAGCTCAGGAGTGCCAGGAGCCACCAGTAGCTTCAAGAGAAAAGGAAGCATTCTTCCCCACGACTTTTGGTGGGAATGCAGCCCTGCTGATATCTTGACTTTGGATTTCTGGCCTCCAGAACTGCCAGAGAATACATTTCTATTGTTTAAATCCCCATGTTGGTGATATTTTGTTATGGCAGCCGCAGGAGATGAATATAACCTCCAAGCCATCCCCTGGGCAGCTCAGTGTGCAGGAATGGCAGATGGTTCTGATGGCAGTGGATGGGTGGTATTGAATATGGTGTTGATGGTGGCTAGTGTTGGGGGTGGGTGGTGTTGATGGTAGGTGGTGTTGATTTGGTGTTGGTGGGTGGTGTTGATGGAGGGTAGTATTGATAGTGGGTAATGCTGATGGTGGGTGGTATTAATGGTAGGTGGTGTTGATTTGGTGTTGATGGTAGGTGGTGGTGACAGTGGGTGATGGTGATGGGGGGTGGTGGTGATGGTGGGTGGTGTTGACAGTGGGTAGTATTGACAATGGGTGGTGCTATGTGGGTGGTGGTGACGGTGGGTGGTGTTGATTTGGTGTTGGTGGTGGCAGGCTCAGCACTCACTCTCATCTTCTGAGGAGAGGGCAGTGGATCCAGCCCCAAGGAGCTACTCAGCTCGGAGATAATCAGGTTAAAACCAGCACACAGACAAAAGAGAACCCTGGGAGAAGAAATTTTCTTTTTTTTGCCGTCTCCTCTTAGAAACTTTGGTGAGAAAGAAACGTTCATTCATCTAAAAACTATGGATTAAGCACCTACTATGTGCCGGGGAGGATGCACACCTCTTATACTTTGGCATTCCAAGTTCCATTTTTCCTTTGGCGTTCTAGAAGGGTATTTCGGGCATAGGAGGCTCAGGCCAGTGACTGATTGTATGCATTCTGGCACACATTATGTTTTCAGCCACACTGGGTGGTGGTGGGGGAGGCAGAAATCATGCCGCGTGAAGTCTCTGATGGATGTCAGAATTCCCATTCCAGCAGGAACCTTGTGGAGTTAAGTTTTCCAAGACGGGGGAGCTCAAGCGAGTGCCCAGCCCCGGAGCCCTGTGAGGCGGGGTCTGCATCCGTCCTGTTCAGGACCCCCAATGCCTGGCATGGGGCCATGTTGAAACAGCTGGAAGGGTGTGCAAACGAGTGAGTGAGCGAATGAAGGCAGTGGGCAGGGTTCACCTGGTCTCAGGTGGTCAGGGATGGCTCCTCAGGCCCGGTGGGCCTTGAAAGTGGCCTCGAGGGGTCAGTATGATGGGAAGGGAGGTGCAGGGGAAGTGGTGTGAGCAGGGGTGGAAGGGCAGTATGCATCCTGGCCTTGGTGTCCAAGGTGAAAACCAAAGGAGATTCGTGGTGGTTGGGTCTGATGGACTCTCCCAAAGGCTAACTGAAGCAAACGCTTGCCCCCAACGTGGGATGTGTCCTTAGAAAGAGAAGGGAAACCGGGTCTCTTCAAATCCCCAAATTCTCCAGCAGAATCCCCGAGTCCACGGAGAGGGGAGGTCCAGCTCTCAGGATGCCAGGAAGCAGGGTGTCCCTCTGCGGAATCCATCCTGCTCCCCAAGAACAGACCCTTGGGCAGTCCCACAGCAGGCTCGCTGTTTGCCAAGCACAGCACATGGATTTCACAGGAGCCCCAGAACATCCGGACCTTGTCCCCATCTTACAGATGGGGAAACGGAGGCCCAGAAAGGTTAAGTCGCTTGCACCAGTCGCACAGATTGAAACCAGAGCTGGGGGAATCCGGCCCTGGTCTTCATTGACAAACTCCACTCCCATTAACAAACACTCATGAAATGAGTCAGGTGAGTCACTGCTGAGA